CCATATGAGGCTATTGAAAACACAATGGCCTGGGTCAGGCGCACCCTAGTCCTCAAGCTGACATCTCTGCTCTTCAATACTTTAAAAAGTTCCTTGACTATATCCCACCTCAATTTAGAGAATATCTGAAGAACAGATTTGAAGCATTAGACACTAAAGACCGAAGACCAGAAGAATTATGAGATGACACAAAGAACATCAGACAGGAAGAAAGTAAAAGGTCATTGAGAAGACAAGAGAGAGGGAAAACATCAAAATGGATGTCAAAAGAGACTCTGGAACTTGCTCTCCACTGTAGAGATGCTAAAGCAAATGGAAGAAGTAAGGAGATACAAGACCTGAACAAAGAATTTCAAAAGTCAGCTCGAGATGACAAAGTCAAATATTATAACAAAATGTGCAAAGACCATGAGTTAGAAAACCAAAAAAGAAGAGCACATTAAGCATTTCTCAAGCTGAGAGAACTGAAGAAAAAATTCAAACCTTGACTTGCAGTATTGAAGGATTCTATGGGCAAAATACTGAATAATGAAGAAAGCATCAAAAAAAGATGGAAGGAATACACAGAATCACTGTACCAAAAAGAAATGGTCGATGTTCAACCATTTCAAGAGGTAGCATATGATCAAGAGCCAATGATACTTAAGGAAGAAGTTCAAGGCGCACTGAAGTCATTGGCAAAGAGCAAGTTACTGAGAACTGATGGAATACAATTTGAAATCTTTCAACAAAGTGAAGCAGCACTGGAGACACTCACTCATCTCTGCCAAGAAATTTGGAAGACAACTACTGGCCAACTGACTGGAAGAGATCCATATTTGTGCCCATTCCAAAGAGAGGTGACCCAACAGAATGTGGAAATAATCGGACAATATCACTGATATCCCATGCGAGTAAAGGTTTACTAGATGTATTACAGAAATGGCTACATTTACAGAGAACTTCCAGAAGTTCAAGCCAGTTTTAGAAGAGGACATGGAATGAGGAATATCATTGCTGATGTGTGATGGATCTTGGCTGAAAGCAGAGAATACCAGAAAGATGTTTACCTATGCTTTATTGACTATGCAAACGCTTTCGATTGTGTGGATCATGATAAGCTATGGACAACACTGAAAAGTATGAGTATTCTGGAACATTTAATTGTACACATGAGGAACCTATACATAGACCAAGAGGCAGTTGTTTGAACAGAACAAGGGAACACCAAATGGTTTAAAATTAGGGTTGTATTCTTTTACCACACTTATTCAGTCTATATGCTGAACAAATAATCAGAGAAGTTGAGTTATATGAAGAAAAATGTGGGATCAGGACTGGAGGAAGGCTCATTAACAACCTGTGATATGCAAATGATACAACCTGGCTTCTGAAAGCCAAGAGGACTTAAATACTTATTTGATGAAGATCATAGACCACAGCCTTTGGTATGAGTTGCACCTCAATGTAATTATAACAAAAATCCTCACCACTGGAAAGATAAACAACATCCATATAAACGGAGAAAAGATTGAAGTGGTCAAAGACTTCACATTGCTTGGATCAACCATCAACACTCATGGAAGCAGCAGTCAGGAAATCAAACCAAGTATTGCATAGGCAAATCTGCTGCATAAGACCTCTTTAAAGTGTTGAAGAGCAAAGATGTCAGTTTGAGGGCTAAGGCGCGCCTGACCCAAGCCATGGTATTTTCTATAACCTCATATGCATGCAAAAGGTGGACAGTGAATAAAGAAAACCATAGAAGAATTGATGCATTTGAGTTATGGTGTTGGAGAAGAATACTGGAAGTATTATGGACTGCCAAAAGAATAAATAGATCTGTGTTGAAAGAAATAAAGCCAGAGTGCTCCTTGGAAGCCAGGATGGCCAGGCTTTGTCTTTCATACTTCGGACATCTTGTCAGGAGGTAGTAGTTGCTGGAGAAGGATCTGTTTAGTAAAGTGGAGGGTCAGAGAAAAAGAGAAAGACCTCCAGCGAGATGGATTGGCAGTGTCAGCATCAATGAGCTCAAGAGTAGCAACAATTGTGAGGTTGGCCCAGGATCAAGCAATGTTTCTTTTTGTTGTGCATAGGGTCACTATGAGTCAGTGCTGACTCAATGGCACCTAACAACAGCAACAACAATAACAGGACTTGGTTCCCGGACTATGGATCTTTCTTTTCCTCACAGATGGACAGACAGCATTATCCACATCTCTGGCTCCTCAAACCATCCCTGATTTTTTTTTTGTGGCAGCTACTTAGTCCCTCCAGTCTGATACTTTGGAGGTGATATCATTATTGTTGTTAGCTTTATTGATTGAGCTTTACTAGATGCCAGGAACTTTGAATATGTTCTCTCATTGAATGTTCATTATAATCCTACAATGGAGGCATTAATTTTTCCAAAGCCAGACAAGTCAGGGAAGAGTTGAGCTAGATCCCGTGTTTGCCTGGGTCTCGGGGTTAGTCTCATCTTCGTGTGGTAACTAAGCTTCTACCCGTTCCTGATGCCTATGTCTTTCTCTGCTTCTGCATCTTTCAGGTCCCTCCCAGGAGTAGAGACTTGCCTTCCTGTGATCAAGCTGCCTCTAGGAGGTGCCCCAAGCCAAGTGACTAAGATCAACTCCCTGTGAACAGGCTTCCCCATGCCTACTACCTGCACTGGGAGGAAGACGCCTGGGTTGTGGGGAGGGAAATACATCCTTCTGATTTCTGAGAGGAGAAAAGGAATATGGCAAAAAAATATGATCAAAGTGCTGAATGAAGTCAGCTCTGTAGATCGTGAAACTTAAGCCACAGTTCTGTTTATTCCATGACAGGGAACATTCTGCCAAGCTTTCATCTAGAGAGAAAATTAAAACCAAGAAGATCCAAGTGAGTGTCGATGGCCTGGGGTCCAATCCTGGTTCCACTAACAACTTGGGGTAAAACATCTCCAAGCCTTGATTTCCTTGTCTACAAAATGGGATTCAAAATTGTTGTTGTTAGGTGCTATCAGGTCAGTGCCAATTCATAGCAAGCAACCCTACATACAACAGAAACACTACCCAGTCCTGCGCATTGTCACAATCATTGTTATGCTTGAGCTCACTGTTAAAGCCACCATGTCGATCTATCGCATTGGGGTTCTTAGTGTTCACACACCCTCCACTTTACCAAGCTTGATGTTTCTCTCCAGGGAATGGTACCTCCTGACCACATGTCCAAAGTACAAGAGACGAAGTCCTGCCCTCCTATTCTGGCTTATTTCTTTCAAGACA